TGTAGGTTGCCAACCTACAGCCGCAAAATTCTGCCTGTATACGGCTGTAGGTTGGCAACCTACAGCCCCAAGACACTCCCAGTTGGCACTATTTTCTAGTGTTAGTAGCCCAGATTGCTGCCTTTACAGCAGTAAAATGTTTCAAGTTGGCCCCAACCCCGCTGTTTGAAGCATTAAAAGGCAGCAATCTGGGCTACTATCACTGTCTTTTAATGCTTCAAACAGCGGGGTCGGGGCCAACTTGAAACATTTTACTGCTGTAAAGGCAGCAATCTGGGCTACTAACACTAGAAAATAGTGCCAACTGGGAGTGTCTTGGGGCTGTAGGTTGCCAACCTACAGCACATACAGGCAGAATTTTGCGGCTGTAGGTTGGCAACCTACAGGCTAAAGACACTTCCAGTTGGCCCCACCCCTAATGTTGGTAGCCCACATCACTGTCTCTTAATGCTTCAAACAGCGGGATTGGGGCCAACTTGAAACATTTTACGGCTGTAGGTTGGAAGCCTATAGCATGTAAAGGCAGCAATCTGGGCTACTAACACTAGGCTGGTGCCAGCTCGGAGTCTCTAACCTACAGCAACTGCAGGCAGAAATGTGGGTTGGGGCCAGCTTCAGACATTTTACGGCCACTCTTGCCTTTAAATGCTGCAGGGTCAATTGGAGGCATGTAAGGGCGTTTTTTTTTTGGCAACCTACAGACCAACAAAGCATGGCAAAGCTGAAATTTCATCCCAAACATCAAACATTTAACAGATTAGCAGATTCTAGCCTCAAGCAAAGCTTTTGGATGTTTTCCTTTGTTTTTCTGATGAAATTTCGCTGGGCCCTCAGGAAAGATGCTCCGTGACAGCGCTTAACGATTCGGAAACGCAGCGGAAATGTCGACCTGCCGAAACGCAGCAGCGTCGTGGCTTCGATGGGAAGAGCCCATCGAGGATTTTCGAGGCATGGAATCATCCAATTCCATCCAATTCTATCCAATTCCATCAGCATTTTTTTTGGGAAATATGAAAGGATTTTCTTCAGGATGATTAAACAGGACATATTCATGGACTTTTCTTACCAACTATGCGGATAACTATGGGGATGTGACCAACATACGAGACTTGGGTGTTTTTGAAAATGGATACTGCGAAAAAACAACAACAACTCAAATTTGGATTTAAGATAATCAAAGATAGGAGATATCATGGGATACCAACTGGTTGACACGACTTTTAAGATCTTTTTAGACATCATGATGGTTTGGTGGTTTAATGACCTCATTTCATGGCACATTGGCGTGGGGTGTAAGTCAGGTAAGTGCTTCGATCCAGTAGACCCAGCTGTGTTTCACTTCACTTGTGCAAGTTTCGTTCGCGGAAAAGGCCTGAGTGTTTTCGCTGATGTTTACAGATTGCAGCCGGATGATTTCGATTCAACATGTGTCTCTTTGAGAATGGGTATGTGCAGTATGCCCTAATAGATCCTAATAGTCTTAAAGGATAAACGGAAAAACCATCTGATTTTGGGGACATCGGGACACCTATTTTCAGACATGTCCTCTGCTCATGTTCTTGGCCGTTGCGATCTGCGTTCAGCGAGAAGGTGTCATCTTTCGCATCGTTGTAGATTTGTTGTATCCATCACATCCCACCCACACTTTTTGGAGGGCTCAAAAAACGTTGAAAGTATCCAGCCCCCGCGCAACGTGTAGAGTTACAGTAATCATATGGGTCTGAAAATAGGATATACATGGATAAATATGGATAAATACCCTCCAAATGGCCACTTAGCTGGGATTTTTTTTTGAATTTCATGGAATTGGGGATACCATGGGATACCATGGGATAGCCTCAGACAGACCTGAAGTTGAACAAGTGAGTTATGGCTCAGAAGCCCCCATGGGTTTCGCGGTTTCGCGATGCGAGGAAGTCCGTGGGGACCCAGGTCGACTTTGGATGACTTTGGATTTTTGAAAAAATGATATCCTTTGATTGCGAAGGGAAGAACGTTGAAGGGAACATATTTTTTTTGTGTAAGAAACTGCCGCTTTCCAGTTTGTCCATGTTTGTCCTTGAAACCAATCGAAACGCCAAGGTCCAGCGAGAGAAATGCGCTGGCACAGGTGCGATGGAACTGCAGTGATCGCATGGTTGTTTTTGACAAACTGCTCCTGTTGATGTGAGATTTTCTTACCAGTCTTAGGTATGAATGGTATGAATGGTATGAATGGTATGAATGGTATGAATGGTATGAATGGTATGAATGGTATGAAATCCATCTCAAGATTTTTGAACATGAGGAGGCTCTTCCCCTTCAGGTTTCTGATATGATCGGTTGCAAAACAGTCAAGTTCTCCAGTTGTGCTCAAGTTGTTGAGAACCAGGAGCGTATCCGGAGCGGCCGCTCCAGCCTTCTGGACTGATGAATGAGTGCTTGAGGACTAAAACGGTTGTGGCCACATTTTGCCCATTCTCATCACTGCCTTATGGGATCATCCGTGGCATCAGAATCTTGCATCCGTATCGCTCAAAATTTCGCTTCCCGTCGCCAGCTGCTGATTTTTCAAGGGTCCAAACGAAATAAACGGATTTGATCATTGACATGGCAAAGACATGGCACTTTCCAGGATTGAAGGACATTTCTCCCCACATTCTTGACATAAAGCACTGGAGTTCTGACATGGTTCAGAAACTAGAACATCAAGATTGTTGAATCAAGCGAAGTAAACAGTGTCCGAGTGCCGAATGCCAAAATCAGAAACATATTGTGATTATCTACACTATGTGATGTCATTTTGAAAGGTCCTTGTGTTGGTGTGAGGTATACCCGGTATACCCCTCACTACTAGACATGCACTGGCATTCACTGTGTGGGTCCGATTTGTTTCGCTGAGTCCCAAGGACTGAGACTGAAATCTTGAGACCGAAGACCAAGAAGTGACTTGTCAGATCCTCACTGCCGCATTGAACATGGGACTTTCCTCATTTGGGTGACGTATGGAACATGTCCATAAGGACAGTTTGAGAAAGTCAACATCGATCGTTGCATATGATTTTTTCCAAAAAGTGAAATTTTGCGATTGGCAGATCCGAAGTCACAGCTGCAAGTGGCAGCCTGAATGCGCAACATAGCAGCCAAAGGAATCATTTGGCTCAAGATTTCCTACGGCTTGACATAACTTGACCGCCTGTGAAGGTCATCATGGATGTTCCCGACAGGGAGCCTGCAGCACTGGAGGATGAGAAGCAAAGGCTTCTCGCACTGAAGGACTTGGGGCCACAGGGCCACAGGTACTGGTCTGACAAAGTGCTGAGGGCTGAAGCATCCGGCCATACCGACCATGGTCCCCTGGATTCTTTGAACAGCAACTTGCCAATCAGGGGACCATCGTGCTTTCAACACCCTTGAGTGAGAGGATCGGAAACTGAGCTGGACAGCAATGCCGCACTGAGACAACTGAAAACATGAGTGGCACCTTGAGCAATGACGAACCACGTGCAGAAATAGAATGAAATAGATAGAGAACGCTAAGAGCGATGCCAGGGCTTCCCCAAGACACTGCTTGATAGATCTTGATAGTGAAGAGGTGAAGAGGTTCAAGATTGACATCCAAAGCTGAATCGCCCAGTGTAAAACAGGTCCTTTCCTGTGAGACCCATTTCTTTGAGAATGATTCGGAAGGCACTGAAGGCACGTACTTTCTACAAATGTAAGCACTTCGGCACACTTCGGCACACTTCGGCACACTTCGGATATCTTCAGATGTGATTCGCCGGATTCGCCTTCCAAAAAAGTCCGACGGGCAGCTGATAGGGTCCATTGGAGCAGTTGGAATCGACTTGGCAGATATCACCGGCTTGGCAGCAGAACTAAGTCGTGGGTCGACATGCAAGTGGTTTAGATTGGTAATGTTTTTTTCAAGAAAAAACAGAAAAAGGAAGAAAAAGAAAAAAAAATGAAAAGAACTGACACGAAATGAGAAAAAATGAAAAGACATGAAAATAAATGAACATGAATGAAAAGAAATGAACAGAAAAAACAAATTAAAAGGCACCAGGAAATGAAATAAACCATGAATGAACACAATAAAACAGGCCACCATATTCCAAACATGAATTCGGTAGTGGTGATTGAGTAGAAACCTCTAGGGGAAAAATGGCAAAACCGCTCCAGACCGTTCAACATGAACAATAAACATGTGGCAGCAACATGAACCATAAACATGTGAACAAATGTCACTACAGATCACTACAGCATGATTTCTGGGAACAAACATTAATTGCAGAGCGGTGGATTGGGTAGAAATTGCATAACGGTGACATTTTTCCATTTTTTTCTTTTTTCCTTTTTTTTTTGACGATAAAATGTGAAAATATGAAAAATAATGAAAAAAAATGAAGGAAATCATCTACGTGCTGCAAGGGTGTTCCTGGTGCTATGTGCTGTGGAAAAATCTACAATTGTTTGCGCTTTGGTGGCATTTTGGATCCCAGAGTCTTGTGTGGTCAGTTGTTGTGCGCTTTCATTTCAATTTCAGCGCTCACCCATGTCGTCTTCAGCGAATGGTCCTTTGGCCCGTACGGCCAAGCGTCATCGAGAGGTCAACCCAATGATGGCAGGAATGAATCCTTTCCATGCGTCCATGTTTGGTCTGGCCTTTGCATTGCTTATCCCTACCCGTGCTGAATCGTGCTGACTTTGTTTTGATGGATCGATGAGGTACGTTGCTACACGTGACCAAAAACGACACTGGTTCAGTTCCTGATGTGCCTTTTTTTTCAGTTGTTGTCAGACGTTTGGCACCGCGTGGCCAGCGTTGTCAAAAAAATCAGTCTTGATAGGCTTCAGCCTGAACAGATTAAACAGGATGATGTAAAATCATTTGAATGCTATCTTTTTTTGTATGTATAGTTATTTCTTTTTATTTCGTTTTAATTATTTCTTTTAATTTATTTATATATATATATGTCTGCAAGTTGCCAAGTGAATTGTCAGTGCGCTCAAGGACTTTCATGCTCGAAGCTTCTGCGCTGATCTCTCTGGTGGTGCAGGGGCTTCGCTCCAACTTGTGGGGTTTGGCTTGTCCCTTCTACTGCACTGGCCCTTCGATCTCCTTGGCTGTGGCCTGCTTCCTTTGTGGACTTCTGTCTGGTGTTGCCTTGTGTGCCTGGTTTCTGCTTCGGTCTGACTTGTTCCCGTTTGCGGCCTCCACACCTGCTTCCCCTGGTCAGTCTCCACCCGCTTCAGCCTCCTCTCGTCCACGTGCAGCCTTGTCAGGCTACTTGCATGGGTACCAGCCACGACGGCAACCTTGATATCTCCCTTGAAATCTCCGGCTTGGCCGTGTCTGTGTCTGGCCCTGCTTCTTTGGTTGGTGACTTTGTCCAGTTCATCTCGGCTTTCCGCCCTGCTCGGTCTGCTTCCCCTGAGCCTTCCGTTGGGTCTTTTGAGGTTGTCAGTTCTGCGCCTTCCGAACCTGCTCCGGTTTCTGTTGGACTTGAAACCCGTGACCAGATCCTGGCCTCTTTCCGTCCTTGTCCTGCTCATCTGCGTGGATTGGGTGTTAAGCTCACAGGTGCTACTCTGTCAGGTTCTGCCCGCATTGACCGTGCTTGGGTTGCTGGCTGCTGGGCTCGGGCTGTTAGGGACAAGAGGGTGCACTCTCCCAACAGGACGCCTCCTTTGGATTTGCGCTCTCGGTTCTACGCTGTGGCTAGAGCCAACTCTGTCGTGGGTCCAGTCATCTTCAGGTCATCAGCATCCTATTGGCGTGCCCTGGGGACTCTTGAAGGTTCCAACTCAATCTCACAGAGCTTCCCAAGTGAGACAGAGGCCAAGGTATACCTCCTTGCCGCTGGATTTGAAGAGGACGACATCAACATTGAGCCCTGAGCAAGGGAGCAATGGCGCTCGAAATTCCCGAGCAAGAAGAGGAGGATTTGTTGAGCCGCTTGGTGACTGTCGCAGAGGATCTGGAGCCCTACGTGCTTCAATGGCCTGCTCCAGACGATGCAGACGGTTTTGCCGAGGCTCTAGCTTTGGTGGTTGCAAAAAAGCGCGGAGGAATGCTGCTGGCGCTCCCACCTGGCCTGATTCCAGATCAGATCCTGGAGTTAGCCAATGCTGGAGAAGATGCCGGGCCAGTGGGGGCTTCTACAAGAATCACAATACCAGGGGTCATTTTGGACGGAGGTCTGGTGTCTCCAACTGGCACAGATGTGACCGTGGTTTTGGTAGATTTGGCGGAGGAGTTGGTTCCAAGGTTGCGAGTTGCCGAGGGAGCGGAGGAGATAGCCATCCCCTTCGACCTGGACTCACCCTTCACTTTTCCAGCTCCTGCTCCTACCCTCGATTTGGCAATGAAGTGGGTCCAAGACTCAGATGTGGAATCAGGTCTGGCATACTACTCAGCAGCGTCAGTGGAAGCCCCGCCGCCTTCCTCTCAGAGGCCATCCAGAAAACAGAGAAAGCCGCCAGGGGACGCAGACACTCCTACTGGCGCCGAAAAGCAGCAAAAGCCCAAGAGGCCTACCACGGCAAGCCTGGCAGCTTCCATGGACCAGCTTTTGGACTTGGTGCCAAATCTGACTTCTCAGGTGCAAACTTTGGTTTTGAGACAGGATGCACTCGAGACCAGGTTGGCTGCTCCCACCAGGGCTGGAACTCTTGGACTTACCCAGCCTCTTTCATCCAGTCTGACAGCGGCATCAAATGCGGGGGCCGTGGCGAACCTGATTGCTGCACCTCCACCGAGGACGCGAGCTCAGCTTGGACTTGCTGGAGGAATGGATTTTCAACCTCCCGAGCTCAAGGATCTGGAGGAGGAGAAGCCCCCTTTGGGCCCTGCTGCCGGAGGGGACCTGGCGAGAGCAGTCCTTGCGCAATCTCAAGCTCTCACAGCACTAGTTGGTCAGATTGCACAGTCCAGCCAGGACCCCATGGTGGATTTGGGTGGAGGGACATCTTCAGCAAGCACGAGGGGAGCTCTTGGACGAGCGAGACTTCAAGCAGAACTAGCCACCCATTCCGGCGCCTTCTACCAGTCGGTCTTGAGATCGATGGCAAGACGAATGCAGCCAACAGCCCCGGCAACTGGGACTCCTGCAGAGCTCCTCAGCAGGGGGATCAGCGGAACACAATACATGGAACGCTACGGGGGCTTCGGAAGGCACCGGGATCTGGGTTTGGTCCTATACCAGGTGATGTCGATTTTGGACTTTTTGCAGTCGGACAATCTTGGAGCTGCGAGGGACGCCACTGCCCTTTTGGCGGTCTGCCTCGACCAGGCAGTCATCGACAATGGCCGGTTCGACTTGGCCGCCCTCCTGACGCTTCAAGAAGACCCTCCGTCTTCGATCTTCATCAACAGACAACAAAGCACCCTATCTCGCTCCAGAACCTTCTCCCACCTTGCGGATCAACGATGGGTGACGGTGGCTCTTGCTTTTATAAAAGAACTCGAGGTCATCAACAGCAAGCGCCTCGAGATCACGGGAGGAGTGGGGGGAGGAGGCCCGAAAGGCCAGGGATCCTCAGATCCACAACCAGAAGGAAAGGCTCAGCCAAAGCGAGTCGCCAAGGGAAGGGGAAAGAACCAAAGTGCGGGAGCGCCGGATCAGGAGGAGGAGTGAGAGCATCTGGAGGCAATGACCCTCCATCAAGTCCTAAGAATTCGTCACTTGAGGGGCCGGAGCCAAACCCTCTTGCTGGACTCTATGACCCTCCATCAAGTCCTAAGAATTCGTCACTTGAGGGGCCGGAGCCAAACCCTCTTGCTGACTCTATCAGTTTCACTACCTGGGCCATTTGTCTTCCCCGGTGGATTTTGCGGTCTCGGACCGATCTTGCATGGCATCTTCGTCGCTCCTTTCAAGTTTCCGTGCCACAGCCTGCCAAGCTGTCTACCACTGTGTTCCCTTTGCCTCTGCCGTCTTCGTCGCTGTGGTGCTGGGGATCTTTTTCCAAACTCTCCCGGAGGAGGCTGTTAAAGCTTTGCAGGGCCAGGTTACTGCATGTCATTGTCTTTGCTTTGGACTTTCTGTACCTTGGTCGTTACCCTACCGTTGAGGAGCTTTGGAGAAGGCCGTCTGTCTCTCAAACTGCTGTGCACTCGAGACTGCGGGCCTTTGTTGCAGTGTGTGGGTCATCTGGTGAACTGTTCCCCCTTGCACCAGGTAGATCCGGTCCTGAATTAGGTGCAGCTCTGATGCAGCTTGAGCGTTTCATCGACTCTGAACCTGTCTTCCAAGGCGGGTACTTGGATGGCCCCGTCAGGTTTCGCGAGGACCCTGACTTGTTTCCCCGTGATGAATTTCCCCAGCTTTTCCCTTACAGGTCTTTGGATTCAGCCCGCTTGAAGTTGGTTGGACAAGGTGCCTGGCCCATGGAGAAGTTCATCGAAGGGCCGCTTTGGTTGCCGTTCCAAGAGCCTGCCATTTTGCGACATGGTTTGGAAGTTGATTTTTCAGCTGCCCCAAATTTCATGAAGGAGTCCCGTGACGAATGCCTGCGGCTTGTGAAGCTTTGGGACAGCAAAGGACTTGTCAGGCTTTTTGAGGAGCCAGCTGAGCCAGGGCTGTTTTGTAGGGTTTTCAACGCCTTCAAGAGTCCTGAGTGCGACAGGCAGATAGGTGATAGGAGGCTTGTTAACATGTCTGAAATGTGTTATGATGGCCCTTCTCGTTTCCTGCCTCAAGGTCCCTCTCTTGCACAGGTCAGGGTTGATAGGTTTTGCCAGCGCCTTGTTGCCTCGGTTACTGACCGCCGAGATTTCTATCACCAAGCTGCTGTGACTGCAAGTAGGGCCCAGACAAACCTTTTGCCTTTCTCATTCGAACCTGAAGAGCTTGTTGGTCTTGAAGCTTTTGAGAGGGAGAAGCTTGAAGCGGTGAAGCAGAGCCCAAAGGGCCGTGAAGTCATAGGAGATCGCCTTGGACTTATCCCCAAAAAGCTTGCCCCAAAAGAATGGACTCCAAAGCCACTGTTTGCAGGTTTTGCCTCGCTCTTTCAGGGTGACCATCTTGGGGTTGAGTTTGCTTTGTGTGCCCACCAGCAGCTGCTTGAGGATGCTTGTCTCTTGCGTGATGGTCAGCAGGTAAAGGGGTCATGCCCTTTCCCAAAAGGCCCGGTGTACTCTGGTTTGGTCATTGATGACTTTTTCCTGATCAGCCGGGAGGGTGCCAAGAGACCAAAACATGACACGTCAGCTTTTTATGCTTTGGCCGCCGCCAGGAGAACATATGAAGCTGAGGGTCTGATCGGATCCACTGAAAAGGACATTGAGGCTGCTAGTGTCTTCAAAGCGGCCGGGGCTGAGTTTGTCTCTGATGAACATGCGGTGCAATCAGGTTGTGTCACGGTTGGTGCCCCTCGAGCAAAACGCCTTGCCTTAGCCGCGCTGTCCCTCCGAGCCGCCAGACTCCCTGGACTTTCCCCTCAGCTTGCATCTCGCCTTGCTGGAAACTGGTCGTCTGTGTTGCTGTACCGGCGGTGTCTCTCGAGCGTTGTTGATGGACTGTTTGCCCTGGGGGTTTCTGAGTCCTGTGCTGGAACGTCTGTTGTGCCGCTGCCCAGAAGAATTGCCAGGGAACTCGTTTTGCTTGCAATCATGTCTCCTCTGACCTGTTCAAATGTCGCAGTGAGCTACGTTGGCACCTTGTTTGCTTCTGACGCGTCTTTGTCGAAGGGAGCCTTTGTTGCGGCTGAAGTTGGTGCTGACAGGGTCGAAGAGCTTTGGCTTGACACTGAAAAGAAGGGATCCTATGCTCTCCTTGACTGCGGTTTCAAAGAGATGCTTAAGCATGTTGGCGAATATGAGGGTGAGGAGCAGGTGCCTGCGCCTCTCATCAGGCCAAAAGCCTCACCCCTCTTGTACTATGATTTCGTTGAGATCTGTGGAGGGGTTGGAGCTGTCAGTGCGGCTGCCTGTGAGCTTGGTCTTGTTTGTGCTCCACCCTTGGATCTTTCGGCTTCTGAGCACTACGACCTTGGGGACCTTCGCTTGCTGGAATGGGTCATATACATGGTCGAAGAAAACAGGTTTAGGTCGTTTTTGCTTGAACCGCCTTGCACAACCTTTTCACCGGCAGCTCACCCATGCTTGCGCAGTTACGTTGAGCCTTATGGATTTGACAGGATGCACCCTAGGGTCATGCATGGCAACTGTCTCTCTTTCAGGTCCCTTGTCCTCATGCGTGTTGGCCGTCGATGTGCGAGACCATGTGGCCTTGAGCAACCCCGCCGGTCAAAGATGGCTTGGCTTGATGAATGGATTTCCCTGGTCCAGTCTGGTGATTTTGAAGAGGCGATCATCGCTGCATGTCGCTTCAACTCCCCTCACCAGAAAGAGTTCCGTTTCTTGTTGCACCGCGTGTCAGCAGAGCTCCTTGAGGCTAGGTGTACCCGAGACCATGCTCATGTACGCATTCAGGGGAAGTTCACGAAGGACTCTGCCATATATACCCCTGAACTTGGACTTCACCTTGCTTTGGCTTTCCGGGCTGCCTTGAGGACTGTTGTTGCCTTGGCTGAATCCGACATGTCTTGCGAGGGCCTTGAGTCTGTTGTCACAAATGACATCATGTGCACATCGGTGTGGCAGGAAGCCCGAAGTTGGTTTTGGAAAAGACCTCGCCACATCAACGCTTTGGAGGTGTCTGCTGGAGTTGCTGTGCTGAATGAGGTTGGTCCAAATGCCCCACACTCCCGGGTTGTGTCATGTTTGGACTCTGCCGTTGCTCGGGGGGCCTTGTCAAAGGGTCGCTCCACATCAACCCTTCTTCAGCCCCTCCTCCGCCGCTCAGCTGTCTTGCAGGTCTGTTTCGATTTGTATCCTGTTTGGCCTTTCTGCCCTACCCGCCACAATGTTGCTGATGACCCGACACGGGACGTCGTTCTCCGTGAGCGTGCTCCTAACAGTGTCACCGCCTGTCATGGGATTGACCTGCGCTTGCTGCATCGGGTAGGCCTTAAGAGATTTGCTGCCAACTGGATTCGGCTCTTCCTGCTTGTTTCGTGCGTTTCTGGGGGAAAAGCTGATGGATGCCATGACCCTTTGGACTTCAACCCGGCCTTCTGGACTTACCCAGTTGCTTTTGGCAGTTTCCATTGTCCTCTTAGGTGTTTTGGTGCCAAGATGTCTCTCCTGGATTTCAGTTTAGCCAAGTGGACTTTCCTGGCTCTTTTTGGGCGTGTCATGAGTTTTGCTCTCACTACCCATCGGTTGCTGGTTGGAGTCCTCTTTTGGCTTTTCATGTTTGCTCTCTTCCGTCGTGGCTGTCAGTTTCGGGTCCTCCGTGTCCTTTTTGGATTTTACGGATGTGTCTGTGTGTCGATGTCCCTTGCACCACCAGGCCCCCGTTTTGATGGATTTCAGTTCGGAGCGTTTGCCATGGAAGCCTCCTCCGTTGCTGAGAGGCGCAGGGCTGCAATGAGAACTGAGACTGTCCTGAAAGGAGACCGCGTAATACTGGATGCGACGAGAAACAGACGGAAGAAACTTCTGAAGCAATTCCAGGTATGGCTCTGGAGTGAGCGAGGCGTATCTCTGAAGTTTTTGCTGCAAGAGAAGCCGCCCGATCCTGAGAAGATCTCTGAATGGTTGGTCGCTTTTGGGAGAGAGCTTTTCCGTACAGGAAAGGCCTACGGAATCTTCGCCGAGACAATCAACGCAGTTTCCGCAGCCAGACCTGCGGTCCGAAAGCAATTAACTTTGGCTTGGGACTACGCCTTCTCCTGGGTTGCTGATGAGCCCTTCCACCACAGACCTGCCATGCCGGCTTCGGTTTTGCTGGCAATTTTAGCAGTCGCTTTGTTTTGGGGATGGGTTGAAGAAGCAGCAATTTTTGGAATGGCTTGGGCTGGACTATTAAGGATCGGGGAGGCCTTACAAGCTCTCCGCTCTGATTTGGTTCTGCCTGAAGACGCAGCCCCAGGAATGACCTATGCACTGCTTCGCATCAGGGAGCCCAAAACTCGAGGACGCCACGCGAAACATCAAGCCGCCAGAATAGACCCAGCAGACATTGTCCAACTACTCCAAATAGCCTTTTCCAAAAAGAGCAGGGAACAAAAACTGTGGCCTCTTTCAGCTTCCACGCTGAGAAAGAGACTGGCTGACCTTCTGAAAGCTATTAAGCTGCCTACGGAGGGGAGTGGATCTCAACACTTCGATCTTTCATCACTCAGACCAGGAGGTGCCTCATGGCTTCTGTCTTGCTGCGAAGACAGCGAAATGGTTCGCCGAAGGGGCCGCTGTGCTACGACGAGAACGATGGAAATCTACCTGCAAGAGGTCCAGTACGTCACTTTCGTTGAGAGGCTACCGGCTGCCACAAAGGAAGTAATTCATACATGTGCCGCTGGTTTCCCAGACCTTTTGAAAAAGGTTCAGTTTTTCACTGATGCTGCCATTCCCAGCAGCACATGGTTCACACTGCTGAGAGATAGACGGAGTTTTGGAACTTAGGGGTTGAGTGGTCAGATGCTGCAGCTTTTGCACATAAAACATGTGTCGCTGCATAGAACAACTTCTATGGCACGGAAAAGTAGCGCATGCAACTTGTCTGCAAGTTGCCAAGTGAATTGTCAGTGCGCTCAAGGACCCCACCCTAATTTTCAATTTTTCCCTTCCCATTTGTCATCTCTCAGCAGGGTCAGATGCTGCAGCTTTTGCACATAAAACATGTGTCGCTGCATAGAACAACTTCTATGGCACGGAAAAGTAGCGCATGCAACTTATATATATATATTATATTTATTTTTATTTCTCTTTTCTGGCGGAAAAAAGTTTTTATGATTTTAAATGTGTTTTTTGATTTTCGGACCATCCAACCCATGTTGTAACTAACCTACTGCAATCTGCACCGCCACTTAGTCTTGCTGAGCTTGGCAGCGCTGGTCATGTACGTGGGATGCAAACGCCACATTTCAGAAATTTCACACATAGACACGAGGCAAGCAACTGCCAACATTATGTAACATGCTTTTGAACTCTTTTGACTGATGCCTGCTGAGATGTGGCTTGCTCGCCTGCACGATTCCCAAAGAGTGTCCTGAATCGGGCACAGAAAGCTTGAATGGAGGCCAAAGCGCCAATCTAACAAAGCAGACAACGTGCAATCTACCACAGTCTCGGAAGAACACGCAAAGACATTCTGACGGTCCTGCAAACAAGTAAATCTGTTTGAAAGAGTGCAAGAATTGATGCAACATGCGTTCACATTGCTGGGAGCGTCTCCATTGGTCACGTGGAAAAAAACATTGACAGAACCTAGTTTGCCCTTGCAACCGCGCTTGGGCTTGGGAAGGTGCCTTGGCAAATGACTTCTAATCATTTTCTTAATTCGACATTTGGTTGTTTGGGTTGTGGTAAATTATTGTGTGATGTTGCTATGTTTTCTTTTCGTTTTCTTTCTCTTTCTCCCTTTCCTCAGGGTAGCAACTTTCCTGGGGGCCTCTGCACGTCGTTTCAGCAGTCCTTTGACCTACAGATGAGATACGGGGAACTGTTACATGCTAGTACTGCGGCTCCGTGAAGATGTGGCCCGACAGTTTTTCACATGAAGGTGATCAGACGCTTGTCGAACAAATTGGTGGAAGAGTCATTGGAAGAGTGCCAAGTTATTGCCAAGTGCCAAGTTATTTCGACTGGCGAGCTTTTTAGTGCTGTAGTGCTGCTGGAGCTGCAGTTGGAACTGTTGAAATAGTGGCCGCAAGCGCTCGCACATGACAGCTGCAGTTAACCTTCGCAACGAGCGCAGCTTCCGCAGAACGGGAAAGCAAGAGGGTCATAGAATGTCATAGAGTCATAGATGAATCTTGTAGAATTCTTGTAGTGATGTAGAATTTCTGTAGAATATTGAACGAACATCTTGTAGAAAAATGAATGTTGATGAATCTTGCAGAATCTAGAAGTAGATGAGCCGCCACATTTCCAATACATTTCTGATTTCGGCCCGGCGTCAAAAAGTGTTGCTTGTTGCGGTTCCAGGAAAGTGTGATGCTTATTGGATCTGGGTGAGCTGATGGTTATTCATGTTTTATATGTTTATTGACTGATCAGTGACTGATCGATGTTGAGCCAGGACTGACAAGCTCTGCTTGATTGAGGCGGTTTTGAATTTTGATAGCAGGTGATTACATTTTAATTATATATAATATACATTTAGTTACTTTCGATTCTTTCGATTCGTATTTTCTGGTGCCCAATTAAACATAATCAGAGTTTATGATGGTTTATCCATCCGGGCTTGACAGTGGTGGTTTCAGAGCTTTTGAGATGTCGATCCCACCATCCAATATCATCCAATAAGATCCCTGCCATTGCGGACCAAAGCCATATTAAATGCCATAAATCTGACCCACTGAAAAAATGGTGATCTCAGTTGAGGCAATATCTTAAGGGAAGCTTGTGAAAGATGGGGATGACATGGGATGACATATGATTTTCATATGATTTTCAGTGCTGTTGACCTCAGGTCCCTTCCGTCGACTTCTTCGACGGATATCGTGGATCCATGTCAGTGTCCCAGGGCCCAAAAATGCCCAAAACTACTGGTAATAGAGTTTCTGTATACTACAACTACTATACGACCTAAGTATACTATAGTTACTAATCTATGTTACTAATAGTTACTAATGAGATTACCCCATAATTTACTGTGGTCAACAGAATGGAGATTTTATGATTCCGTCATTGCCATTCCGGATTCTCTGGGCAGCCCGTTAAACTGTTTCGAAACGGACAAGCAGCTTGGTGATTTCGTCATCGATTTCCCCGTTGCAGTATCTAGCTCTTAATGCTCTCAGCATTGCAACATTTTCATCTGCAAACGATTCTGATGAAGATTTGAATCCTGTTCATTCGCTGAGTTTGAAGATGTTTGAATCATCCATCCCTAGAAATCTCATAGTTATTCATAGTTCTTGATAATCTTAATATATATATATATAATATCTTAATATTCTACAAAAAAATACAAATAGTACGGCTTTTCCAATGGATGACCTGATTATCCGTTTCCGTCATGAAAATGATGGCCTTTTTTGGGGGGAGAAAAGATGTTCAGCCAAATCACATACAACTGTTGCCTAAATGATCGGCGTATGTATCCCTTTTACAGCCCCATAATCGTTGATTTATGTTGATTTCATATGATTTACTATGATTCAATAGAATGCTTAATCCGAATTAATCCCATGACTTAATCCCATGAATTAATCCCATGAATTAATGGTGGCATCTAGTCGAAAGTTGAGATCAAAACGAAAAAGTTCACCCGCACATGGGGAAACCTGATTTTATGTCCACCTGGATTTTATGTCAGACACCTGATATTTATTTTGTGATAACTATCTGATGATTCTGACACCCCACAAAGCCAACAGATACAAAAGAGGAAGGCAACAGACAGGGAAATTTGGGTGCACGTTGTGCACTCAGGTGCAAGTGAGCAAAGACACAACACTGGAACCGGAACGTCTTGGTTTGTCTGAAAATAACGTATACCAAAATCTCCTAGTTGATCACCGTCACCGTTAAACTCGCATATCTTCAGGATACCCCATTTCTGGACTAGCCCTGTTCTTTTAGAAGTGAGAAAAGAAACGCTGAGCAACTTGAGAAACTAAAATCCAATGGTGCAACTTTGTTTTTCAAAGCAACTTGCCAAACCAATCAGATTCGAATCAGATTCGAATCAGATTCCAATCCCTATTTCTGTTGAAATCCCTGCGCTTGACGAAGCCCCATAGTTTTTGCTTCTCCAAGACGACCATTTCTCAACAAAGAAATCAGGGATTCCTGAGAATATCTATGAATAGCCTGAGAGTATCAGGATTTACCCCAGGATTTGGCAACAACCATGACTTTTCAGTTTTTGTAAATCAGAACAAAATCCACAGAGTGTTATTTTTTTCCACTAGATATTTTGCTGATGTGTGCGCAGCATTTTGAGGGAAGCGATTGAGATGCCTGATATCAAGCCTTGAGACACATTGCTGGACAGTTCAGCAGTCCGGATTCCGGATCCACCATCGCGAAAGACACTTCCCACATCCGTCAAACTTGTGATCTGAAGCTATCTCAACCTTACCAAAGAGGTGCCATAAAAAGATCCAAAAAACAGATCTTGAAGCTTCGTGACATTGATGATATTACATTATATTACATTTACTAAGTTTACTTACGAAACTTTCATCAATTTTACGATTCCAGGTCTTCAACTTTTCATCTTTTTCAGTGATATTCATCATTATTCATCCACCTTCGGCCATGGACGGAGATGGAAAGTGGCCTCCCAAGTCCAATGAACCGAAGGAGCGCAGCAAACGCAGCTCGAACGCAGAAACGGAGACCCTGGAGTCCCTAAAATCCCTGGAGTCCCTAAATCTGTTGAAATATTTTGGTTGATGTCTTGAGAACATTTGAGAACTATGTTCAATATGTTCAAAAAGGGAAAAAAACGACGTGTTGAAATCTGAAAGAGAGATGTGTTTTTCTGTTTCCGGGATTTTTTGGACCTGAAATCTGACAGTTCAATAGTGAACACATGGAACACATGGCATTATATGCTGATGAAAGGTGAACATGACTCAGCCACCAACAAATAGTTGATTTTGACTGAACAGTCAATAGTTTTTAACAGATTTTAACATGTTGGTTGTTTTAGCGAGCTGTTGGGATATGGGTCAATATCAACCATGAGGGCCTTTTTTCTGGACGGGTCAGGAAAAAACACCCCATGGGTTTGTTGGAAAATAGGGCACACCCAACCCTTCTGTTGATATCCACTGACATCCACTGATTCATCATCACTTTTACTCTCAAAACGGTGATTTTAAGTGGTTTTTGCTTCATTTTCAGACACACACACAGACATAACTTGATTAACTTGGGATGGATGCATCAAGACCATGGTTTTTACGGCTGTGAACCATCCGACTCATCCCTTGCCAGAAATGGCTGGTCGGAGAGGTTTTCTATTCCGGATAGTTCCGGATGGGAGGTTTATTACTTTGATTTTGATGAACATCAGAACCTGACGGCTATTCTTTTCATGGTATGTTGGTCCAAACCTATGTTTCTTCTAATGAACTTTGGGAGAATATCCGCAAACGACCTGCCATATCTTGAGAATTACAGGGCACTAAGGGTGTCATGCATAGCCAGCCATTTTAGACTTTGGTTTGCAGATTGGACACTGGATACACTGGCGGATGGACAAACACCTTGTATCTGGCTGAAAAATGAACCTTCAGAAGTAGCCCAAGCTGATTGGTTCACAGATTGGCACCTCGTAATCTTCGTATGGAATCCCAACTTGATGTCTGGAAAAGGACTGTCCGACGCGACACATGGATAATGATCACAATTGAGGTTCATAAGGATCACAGCAGACAGTCCCTTACATACACACAGTGAGTGGGTTCCGTGCTGAGAGTATCTCAGTGGTGGTTTGTTAAGTTGATGGCTGGGAAGACGGGAAGACGAGCCCAAGGAAACCCGTCCTCGGGAAGTAGATCCAGGAGAAGACGAGGCAGATTCGGGAGCACGTGGCTCACGTGTTTTCGATACGGATTGGCCATCAAATCCATTGGTCAATCGAGTCAATCATCATCCAGTAGATTCTGGTAGATTGCTGGAGTTGTGTCTTTGCTTTAGCAAAGGAGCTTTGAGGGTCCAGCTCAGCGCAGGCTCGATTTCGCATGATCTCTACCGGCTTTTCATTACATCGTATCATTTTTTCCAATCTTCCCCGATATTCGTATCATCTCAACCCATCTTATCTATCTTATCTCCTATTCATTTCCGATAGGATCTCGTCTCGTCTCTCTTCTCATCATATCTCTTCCCATCGCCGCTCATCATGTCTCTCTTCAAGGCATCTCATCCGATCATTTCTCATCATGTTTCATCATGAAACAATATATCTCATCTCAATGTATCTCATGTCATCATACCTCATCGTATCCTATCTGGTCTCCCCTCATCGCATCCCTTCAATAGCATCTCATCGCGTCGCATCATATCACACATCATCTGCCATCATTTTCCACATCTCTCGTCATCCCGCTTCAACCCAGTGAAAGACCATCTGTCAAATCTGTTACCACGACGCCCCTCCTGGGCAGTTTGAAATTGGCACTCCCAATTTCAGACCCCATTTGGACACCCCGTTTCTTGTTGTCCAAAGAATAAAAGGACTTGAATTGGGGTGGTTTGGGATGAGTTTTCCCTTCGCCTGACAATATATCATGATATTTATATCATGGAAACAACCTTGCAAGGCCAGGAAGGGCCTTCCCCAGATAATCTAAGTTTAGCAGTAAGCTAACTAGGATTTATGGCGGGTAGATGGTATAATATATACGGGAGGCTACAAACCAGGTGGATATGGGTTCCAACAACTAAAGTTGCGTCCCAATGTTATGGGCTCCAACAACTAAAGTCGCGTCCCAATGACACCTCGTTGTTTTCCTTGGCAATCTCAGTTTGAGTCGCCTTGAGCCAACGCATTGGCCAGGCAAAGCTTTGCAAAACCTGAGTGCGACAGGGTCACAAATTTGTAATGTAACCGCACTCCCCCTTGTCTCTTTGAGACAACCGGCTCTCAGTTCACCTTTTCCATCTCATCCACCTCCACATTCAAAGCACGGAGCCCATGTGGTGGTATTTGAAACCGTCAGGTTTCCATGAAGTTCCAGGTGGTAACGGCCGTGCACCAACCAAATGTTTCTGCCCCCATTGAAGGCCAGAGAGCCACATTGGTCGCAGGCCGTGCGCTCAAAGATGCGCCTTGCGCACTTCAACTTCCCACATGTATTTTTCAGGTGGTACACCGTGCCACATCCAGTAACATATACCGAGGGAAGTGGTGGTGGTCCCAAAGCGGCTGGTGGAGCCTTGTAGTTTGGCCCCTGAGAGCTTGACGCCGCAAAGGCGGCAGGTGAGCCCGCGGTAGGCAAAGGTGGCCTAACCAGTGATGCCGCCTTCGGGATATCACCTCCAATTTCTGGTACTGGACAGAGAGGGCGAAGACCACCTCCACGAAGATGATAGGTGCCCCCAGCGCTCACACTTCCAGACACCTCAGTGTCATCCGTCCCGGGCGTGGTAGGCGTAGTTGGTCCAGGGCTCAGTTGAGCACCACCAGATTGAGTTTCTCCTTGAAACTCCGTTGGTTCACCATCTGGCGTTTGTTCGCCAGCATCAGACGTAGTGGCCCTCGAGGGCGGTCTTCGCCGCACTGCAAGGCCAGGACGGTAGATGCCCAAGTCATTGAAGGCAGCCAAACGTCCCTTTCCATCTTTTCCTTTTCCTTTCCCAGGCAAGGGTTCATTCTCTGTGCTTTCACCGTCACGTGGTGCATTTCCAGGAGCAGGAGGCCATGGTGCCCAAACTCCACGTAGTTCATCTGGTGAATCCCCCCTGGTTTCTGTTGTAGGAGGATGGTCCGAAGGTGACCTAGACCTGGAAGTTCTCGACCTCCTGGAAGTTCTCGACCTCCTGGAAGATCTCGACCGTCTGGAAGATCTCGACCGTCTGGAAGATCTCGATCGCCTGGAAGACCTCGACCGCCTCGAAGACCTCGACCGTCTCGAAGTTCTCGTTGACCTTGAAGACGAAGAAGACCTCAAAGGAGCAGCCACCACGGTGATAGGCGTCAGCCATCTTGCGATCAGAGCTCCTAGGATCGCCATCGCCAATCCATAGGCCAGCAGCAGGAAGTTTCCATCAGCGCCGAAGCCATCATCTTCGCTCGGTTGAGCGGTTACTCTACTGGGGAAAATAGTTACTGCTACCAAGGCTACGGCCATTGACCAGTGAGGGGGCGAAAAAGTCGCCTTCAGCATCTTTTGGTTCACACTAGGAGAAAGTTTTTTCTCCCCCCCACCGTGCACGGCTACAGTCAGACTACCTTGGACAGCCACCTGCGGAGGTGTGCAACTACGTTGAACCATTGAACAGTGAGAGGACGAAGGTGCTGCCTTCAGCATCTGCTGACTCACCCTAGGAGAATTCACTTTCTCCCTCCCACCGTCTATGGAAACCCCATAGCTACCTCGAACCTCAGTTGGAACGGAAGAACTTCTAACCCTTTCGGAAAACTCAATGACCCTTTCAGGAGAATGAATCACTCTTGGGGTTCCATGTTTCTTCCATTCGTCCAGAGTTTCATCTGAATTCAGACCTGGATGCTCCAGGTTAACCACGCAGAATGCATGAGTGCACAACTGCGTGCTCAAATTCAAAGACCCGCTTTCAAAGGAAGTGCAAGGCGTGAGTCGCCCATGTAGATCTTCTCCCGGATGTAGTCCCAAACTTGAAGACGAAGAAATCGAAGATTGGGCCCCTTGACGACCATTCTCCTCCTCCAGCATCCAGGGCCCCTCCAGCGATCCACTGACGTCCATACCACCTCCAAATTCGTCAAAATGACGACCAGTTGACTCATGTAGTAGAGCTCCTTCAGGAAGTAGAGCTCCTTCAGGAAGTAGAGCTCCTTCAGGAAGTAGAGACGACCCATGTCGGCTCCCTGGTGAAAAATCAAAAGGTTGAGGCAGACCACCATCACATAGACCTCCTCCAGGACGTAGAGACGAACTCCATCGATCGTCCACCGACGGTCGACGCCGAAGAGGACCACAATCACGTAGGTCTCCTCCAAGATGTAGAGACGACCCCTTTCGATCATCCCTTGAAACCAAAAATCGAAGAGAACCACCATCGTGTAGGTCTCCTCCAGGATGTAGAGCTCCTTCGGAATGTAGAGCTCCTTCAGGAAAAAGTGGCGACCCCCCAGGGACACCTCGAGGTTGACAAAGAACAGGACATAGTCCGAGATTATCCCACAGCGCGTCATCAGCCGGTAGAGCAAATTCATCACCAGGCCGTAGGTCTTGATCAGGATGTAGACGTAGAGCTCGAACACGGATCATCGCTTCTTCCTCCACGTACTTCTCATCCTTCAAATCTCGGTCAGATAAACCACCTTCTCGTTCTTCAGCAGGCAGTTCCAGAAGTAGATCGTGAGCCAGTTGCACAGCTTCCGAACTCGACAACTTAGACCGAAAGTCCTTCTCGTCAGAGTCATGGGACAAAGCTCGCTCACTGATCCTCAGCGCCTTGAGAGTAGAACCTGGTTTTTCAAGTTCCTGTTTCCATTGTTCGGGGTTCATCGGCAACAGACCCTGTTGTTTTAGACCCTCTACCCGTTTCTTCAGGTATACCCACAACCACAGCAACACAAGAGTTTTGGTTTTTTCATCATACGACCCAGGTTGTCCTGGCTGCATGGCCTTTGTTGCCATAAAGCCCAAACTGGCCGCCGCAATCTTGATAATCTCGTGGTTGAGCTTAAGGGCCTTCACCTGAGTCTCCTGCTCCTCGAACTCCTCAGAGAACTGCGCTGCTGCTGTAGTGACCACGTTGAGGAACTTGAAGAAATAGGTCCAACGCTGCTTCGCACTGATGGCCTTGGTGAGGAAATCAGCCACCAACAGAGAACCTGGTAAATGTCGAATTGACCACCACTGTCGATGTCGAAGACGTTCTCGTAGGAAATGACTCCTCAGCCTCAAATGGCGTGACCTCCAAGCTCCCCCCTCCGGAGCACTCGCTACCGAAATGGCCGCAGTGTTGTCGCCATAGATGACTCGTTGGATCCCCATCGCTCCTTCTATGAACTCGCCCTCCGGAACCTTGATCTTCTCCCGGATGTAGAGCTCCTCAGACGCTTCTTCATCGTCAGATTCGACCACAGTGAGTTGACAAGGCACTTCTTCCAAGGCCTCAAGGATGCACCCCATCGAATCAGCCATGCCCATCGCCTCCACATACGAAAGGAGTTCAGATTCCGCTGTACTCAATGTGATGCAGCTCTGTCTGCTTGATTCCCACATGATTGGAGAGCCACCGTAGAGCACAAGTACTCCTTGGATAGATCTTGAAGCTTGAGGTGCGAAGCTGACATCCGCATAGGCTTCCAATCTTCTCATTGATCGAGGAAAAGGAAGACCATCATCAGGTCCTCGATCAGTCGGATCACACCGACCGTACTCCAGAGCTGTACCCGTCGAACCGTTGATGTACTCCACGACCTCCTTCCCAAGTTGGCATACAAAGCCTGGGTTTTTTGTGGAATGTCGTCCCATAACCCCCACAGCAAAAGCAAGGTCTGGTCGAGTTCTCAGTGCCAACCAGAGGATCTCGCCAGTGATGGCCTGGGCCTGGCGTACTAACTTCGGGTCCAACTCAGAGTCCTTTTCTTCAGGGATGTTGGATGCCATAGTTGGCGACATAGGCACAGGGCGTGTCTTGGTGCACCCATACCTTTTCACCAGTTCTTTCGCATAGGCTTCTTGGCTGACTTGAATGGATCCATTGGACCCCTCCTTGAGCTCAAAGCCGCAGAATTTGACTGCCGGCCCGTCCTTTGATATCCATTCAGGTGGTGAGCACTGCCAAATTCCTTTCACATGGTCCAGATAGGCCGCAATCACCTCGGTCTCCCCGGTGACAAGCATGTCGTCAACG